TAAGCTCTCCACTCCTACTGACACCTGCCCAGATAACTCCTGCACTCCTACTGACACCTGCCCAGGTAACCACAACTCTCCTACTGACACCTGCCCAGATAACAACAGAACCCTCTAATGATCTGTCCAAGTGGCTCCAACATTCCTACTGACACCTGCCCAGGTAGGCTAAACACTTCTGATGCTTCTTCTACTGCCGAAGTAACCGCCCGTTAAACTAGCACTCTCGCTGATCCTGTTCAACTTTGTATCCCATAGATTTAACTGACACTTTACAACGCCACTACACTGTTATTGAAGAAAAAATATGATGCAACATAGTCTCTTTGTGTAACCACAACTACAATCCCAGAACACGGGAAGTCCTGTATCATTGTCACTGTCGAATTGCTACTGATTCACCAGACCAGAGGTGAAGGCCTGTACGCACCTGTGCTGTGGCTGTCGTGTCACCACACAGGTGCTGTCTGTTCTTTGTGAGGCCGAACATGCCGCTGTCTCATGAAGTGCTCCAGTGGACCCTCTTCCTAGTCTGCAGTTCATAGTGTTGACCAGAGGGCATGGAGGTAGCCTATGCTGCTGCCCTGTACACACTGGGGTAGCAATACACTAATGTCAAGAGTTGCTGCCACCAATAGGTAACCCACTCACAAGAGTAACCTGGAAGTCTTTGAGTTCCCGTTTCACTGGTGAGTTTGTTTCTGTTATTCAGCTGCTCCATTGACACCCTATCCTGGTCCTGTTGCTGTGGGCATCCCACTTCTTCTAGTGCGTGTCAGGCAGGTTCTGTATCTGCAGGCCAAGCAATGCTGAATGGACACTTCCTTCCTTTATACAGTCCTTGGTGTTACAGTTGGATTTTGTTGAAGATGTTCAGTATGACGGATGTCAGCAGCAGTAGTTTGCGCAGTGGTTGATTTATAGTCAGGCACTGTGCTAAGTGTGGACCTCATATTTTTGTGTTTGTACCTAGAGGAGATTTATATGATATTGGTGTGAGGAGGTTTTCTGTGAAGTGCATAAAACGATCATTGTGCTCTCTACACATTTACCATTTTGTAGCAATTACACGTATTTTGGAATTGAACTTTGTTTTCTTGTGCATTTCTTGTACATTGGGTGACACAAACAGGAAAGTGAAGCCCCACAAGCTTGAGTGAAAGTACTGTATAGGAGTTGCTCTCTGCTGTGCTTAATTAATACAAAGATACAGGCAGGGTCTGTTACTGCCAGCACGGGGATTTCAGAAATAGCACATGCATTTTACAAGCTCTCACTATTTTAAACCTGCAAGAAAATGTATCATTTCCAGAAGGAGTGAGAGTCCACAACAAGACCCCTTTAGGTTAGTGGAAGTGTGGAGTGTTAGCAGTATACAAGCACGTACACCACTGCCCTGCTCAGAGTTTATTATTGACCATAAATGTGAGTGCATTCTTGTGTTAACAGTTTTAACTGGATCAGAATATGAATGAATGAATTTGCACATAATCCTGAACAGTTGCACACCATCCTCCACGCTGTGTGACAGAGCTCACTGTGCCAGGCAGGCAGGGCCACTCTCTCCCATTCCAGTTCCAGCGCAGGCTCTGCGCCCAAACTGCGTTTCCCGGGATTGATTAGAGAGAGCAATTATGCAAAGTTTATTTTGTAAGTAGCTGGCTGATTACTCAGAATTGATTAGCTACAGCTCCAGATTAAGAAGGAACATCGAGTTTTTGTTTTGTTTTCTTTAATATATCTCTTGTAATGCCTCATCAGTTTCCTTTCCTAAATGACTTAAAATCCCCTTTTTTGTAAAAGCTTATATCAGTATCCTATTCCCAAATTTAATCATACAAGTTAAAGCTTTATAAGTTCACCCTACATAGACTGGCAGTCATGTGCTGCACCATCTGATAAAGCTCAACAATGCGTTTCTGAAAGCTGTAATCTTTACACACGTGGAGGTTGTAAAGGGACAAGGGACATTAGTGTGTGACTCTAGCAGTAAGTCATTCAGTTCTTTGCAATGGATGATGCTTTGGTAGCTGTTTTTTCTGATTTGTATCAGTGTTGAAATGTCATTCCTCTTCCGATAAATAAACCCCACCAAGGAGCCTTGTTGCTTGTGAATTTTATTTTGCAGAACGGATTGAACACCACAATAGGCTGAAATAGTATTAAATTCCTTTAAAATAAAATCAAAGCAGTATATGAATTCTCACGTATAATATGATGGAAAGACTGTTGCGATTCTGAAAATGAAGGCAGTGTATGAAAAAAGCTTTCTTGGGTGTCCACTCGGCTTTCCGAGTGATGTTTAGATAATAATCCCAGCTCTTGTTTTGTTTCTCACAGGCATGAAAGTAAACTAGTAACCCACTTATAGTGTTTTCTACGGAGAAGTACTGGTTTCTATTTTCCCCACATCTGTGTAGTGTAACCTTCTCTCTCCTCCACATTCCACACACCCAGTCCCATTCGGTCTCATTCAGTACCCCCACCCCCCCCCCGCCCCCTCCAGTTGTGTGAAATACTGTACTGCTGGCGCTGCAATATTTGTACAGCCACACCTGTAGCAGTGAGGTCCAAGAGCACAAAGCTGATGTTACATCGCTCGGCCATAAGGGGGAGCTGTGTGAAAGCACCTACAGCAATGAGAGCAATGAGAGGGCAAATAGCAGCACTTTGAGTTAAGCACTTTATCACAGCTGGTCATTGGATTACTCTGGCACATACAGGAGGCACAATCTCCAGTCCAGTCAGCTGGCAGTGTTGTGCAATGTCCATTCATACCCTAACAAGAGACAACAGTGGGGCACAGAGAAGGGGGGACTTAATAAGCTGACTCTCCTGACAACATTGATGGTTGTACTTGTCACTTGCCACTGAGGGGCATGCACACTCTCTGTGCATTGAGTGCTGTCATGCAATGCAGAGTTTATGGAGATAATGACACTGATGCCTCCTGTCTTATAGACCCTGAACATGCTGAAGTGTTACTGAGGGAGTTGTTAATTGCGCCCTTTCTTGAGGCTGGAACAAATGAGCAGAAGACATATAGACCTTAAATAATCTAAAGATCTTAAAGGCCATCAGAGAGGAGGCATAGTTCTCATATTCAACATGCAGCGATAAACAGGCTTGGAACCTGGATGGAGAATGTTGGTGATACAGGACAGAGGGGAAGATGGGTGAGAGGAGAAAAGGGATGCTTTATTAATACTGTGCTTGTGGTTAATTGCATTTTGTGGAGTCCATCTCCTGCCGAAGCTGTGGGACATTCAAGAGTACTGTTTGCGGTTTAAGTGTGATGAGTCTTCTGTTTTGTCTGCGGATGTGTTTTCTTGGTCTTGTTGCAAGTACCTTACGATATTCTCTATTTGATGTTGCCCAGCCAGGCTGTCAGAACCAGCACTCTAGCTTCTTTCAAAGAAAGGCTGGAAGAGACCCTGGGATCAAACAGAAATTTACAACCAAACGCGCAAGACAGGCCAACCGGCCAGCTTTCGTTCTCAGTCTTTTGTGTGTGCTTATCAGCAATGAGTCGTGTGCACTGTACTGCAGTGCTTCATCTATTATTAAGCACCATGTATAATTCACAGAGCTACCGTTGACACGCAACCCAGCACCAGTCTCCATCCGGCGAGTTTGCACTTCGGACCTGGATTGTAAATCAGTGCATCAGGCTGATGCAGTCAGGAGTCCAGTGCAGTGTTCAGTTCTACATGGTGTTTCCAGGCAAAGGAATACTCATTAATCAAGTAAATAAATACTTGATATATAATCAGGGGCACCATGCTGGATTTTAGTCGGAGGGGGGAGATAGAGGGTTTTAGATACAGTATATGTGTTATTAATATATACCTCTACATACAAAGCTGTGTACATATGTAGTACATATTCACCTGTGTGTACTGTATGATCATAGGGGACTAATGAGTGTACGTGCAAGGCTTTGTTTTGCCGTAGGGCAGGGGTTTTTAAAAGCAGCTCAGCGCAATGCCTTTCAGTGGGGCTGGGAATGTTAGCTCACCATGTGGTTTACCTTTTGATGCTGATTCCAAAGGAAAGGCCAGGGCCTGCCTGTTGCTGGTGTCTTCCTTACAGTATGATGGTAAAACCTACCACCTGACAGAGTGCA